TAGATAATAGGCAAACTTATGATTGATTTGATTGATGACCAGCTTGAGCGTACCTATCTCATATTTGCGAAAGTGACTGAGTGAGGCATATGATATATTTTCGTACTCGAGAGTCTTTGTTTTCGAAGTAATCAAGTTAATAGTTGAGGTTTGCTATTATGATCATTGGAATTCATCTCGACTTGATTGACTGATTTGAGATTAGTCTTGTTTGAAACCGTGTCCATGCTCATTTGTTTGTCTTCTTTTCTTTTCTTTGTTCGGGACGAACAAAGGTCTTAGTGTGAGGGAGTTGTTTGTCCCATTTTTGTTGCATTTTTTGTTGTCATTTTGCCTTTCTTTTACCCCCATATTAGGTCTTTAGTTGTTTTCTTAGTTCGTTTTGTAGTTTATTTCGTGGTTTGCTCTATTTTGGTATTTCTTTTGTTTCTCGTGTGTTTTTTCAGTTTTCTTTTGTTTTTGGTGTGAAGGTCGGAAGACCCGTGAGGAATGGATTTAGCCCGAAAACTGATCAAGAAATCATGGTTCTAACGATGGGTTCGTTGGCGACATATAGGAAGAAGCGGAACTCAATTTTGAGCTCGGACGAGCCCGAACGGGCTCAAACAGCAAAGTCGCGCAAATCACGTTTTTAGTGTGCACGTCATAAGCTTTGGGAGGACAGGTTTTCAAGAAAATATTTGATGGGTTTGCATAGTTAGATAGAGGGGTTCGTTAGCGACGCGTAGAAAAAACAGAACTCAATTCCGAGTTCAAACGAACCGGAACGAGCAAAAATCGTAAAGTCGTGCAGTGCAGCCCAGTTTTCTTCGCCGCGGCCGCGACCCCTTTCTTCACCGCGGCCGCGGCGAACAAAAAACTGCCAGCGCCCAACCTTCTACGGAAAAATGCCGCGGCCTCAGGAATAGTCGCGGCCGCAGAGTCTTTGCTCACCGCGGCCAGCGGGAAGCTCCGCGGCCGCGGAGGGCGCGACAGGCAGCTTTTTAATAACAAAATTTAGCTTTCGTTGGGATTATTCTCCCCCTCTTGGGGACGAACCTAGGGCAAGAAAACACGCCAAAACTCCTCTCTTCCCCTTTTTCTCCCCTCTTCTTCTTCTCCTTTCTTTCTTCTTCTTCTTTCATCTTTCTCTTCCATTTTTCTTCCTTTCTTTCTTGTAATTCAAGGATTAAGCTTTGTAATTTTGTATTCAACACTCGAATTGCGATTTATTGTAAGTTCTTCTCTTTATTTTTAATTCATGAAAAGTGATTGAATTGAGAGAGATGATTGATTGTGTTGAATTGATATTGCGTAGCTAATTCTTATTGCTAGGGATAGGGGATGATTGTTTTTGTTTAATTCGTATCTCTCGGGCTTGAATTGTTCGTTCTTGTGTGGGTTGAATTGATTCAGAATTGTTGAATTCTTGTTCGAGAGATTGATATAATCGAAAAGTGACATTTCGATCTTGCTATTGGTGACAATTGGATGTTAATTTGTCGAGTTAGGGTTTGTCGATTCTATGTGATTAGTTGATTAAACTCCTTCTAATTGAATTAGTGATTTTTAGACCCGAAAGAGGAGAAGTCGTAGACCTAGGCTTACATGAGGTAGACGATGTCGTAACTGATTAGTCTATAAGTTTTGGGTTGAAATATGCGCTTGTCGATGACCCATCCCTTGTTACGAAAAGTTATTGGGATTGGGATAATTGGCATGTGTCGTATGCTCGAGTTTGTTCGTCTATGTTCAATCCTTTGTTACGAAGAGTTATTTTGGGAGTGAACCGCTAGATGTTTAAGCGAGAACATCAATCTAGAATAGAATGATTTATGTCCCGGTCTACGAGTAGAACTTGAATTAATTCCCCGACTCCCTAGTTTCTTCATCTTTGTTTCGTTTGCATTTTTAGGTAGATTATTATTTTTATTTTATTTCTTAGTTAATAATTCATCCAAACGGCTATCTGATTAGAGTGTTTAGGATCTATTTTCTTTTTAAGTGTGATTGATTTCAAAGCAGAGTTCCGAACCGTCTTCCTCGTGAGATCGACCCGGGGAACGAATCTTTCGATTTGGTACTCGATAAAAAATAACAGTTTGTGCTACAACAATGACGACACCGTCTTCGAGGTCTTTTTAGGGCACTGGAGACGCGGGATGAGGACTGATTCTTCGACGATCGGCGTTGGGAGTCATCTTTCCGAGTCGAGATCCCCAAACTTTCAAGGGACTTTGTGGACGCACACGGGACAATCAAGTATGAGGGTCCGCCTTGTTTTGATAACTAGGGGACGACTGAATATTCTAGTCTGCCACTATTTTGTGACTACAGGGATGATGAAGCCGAAGGGGTTGTCGAAGTGGCCACTGACGGCTGCGTCCAGGACGTTTTTGGACATTTAGAGTGTAGTGGCTCTCATGTAATTTTAGATGCAAGAGCTTTGGTTTCATATCATGGGCGGTTAAGGGCGAAACAACCTGAACAATACACTTGGGGCGCAACGTCTAATTCCAAAAGTGACTGGACAAAAATGAGTGTAAGAAGCACTCAGGATGAAGACA